GTGTATTTATAACTGTAGTATTTTTGTCTCTACCTTTGTCAAAGAAATCAGCTATTGTGGGAAAATGTAAGAAATTCAGTCTACTCTCACCATCTTAATAGTATAATTGACAGTAGGTAACATCTATGTGTTTTGCAGATCAGTGCCTTAATAAATATAGCTTCTGTGTTATTGCCAGTAGCAAAAATTTATCATCTGGCTTCACAATCAACATATAGCACTTTCTTGAAGCAGTGCTTCTCATTTCTCTCTGTCAAATGAAGGAATTATGGTGGCCACCTGCCATTATATGATATCAGTATTTGTGAGAGCTTCAGATGTCACTTCTTTTTAACAAGCTCTTGAAAATCAGCAGAACTCCATCCCCCAATTTTACATCTTATGAAAGGAATAACAGCTCTAGTTAAAACACTGCTTTAACATGATTTGCAGCTTAAGTCTGCCATCCATTATCTCCCCTCCTTCCTTGTTGTATGAAGATAAGAATAGTATTAAGATAGTAATAGAGTTGTACTTTTATCTCACTGTATTTTGTTTATTTTTAAATACATAATTTTCTTTGTAATTTGAGGAAGTTTTAGAGGAGGAGCTATGCCCTTATTGTAGAATGCATGTTTCACAAGCCCGAGTTTGCAAACCTAATCTCTGTCATCTCTAGTTAAAAGCATTCCAGGTAACAAGCGATATAAGAGAACCCTCTTTATGCCCATAAAGAATTTCTAGACTAGAGAGTATAGTATAAGCAACTAGATTAAATTAAGCAAAGACTAAAATTTGATAGGGTTATTCATTTGTTAGATAATGTGCTATATATATAAGGCTCTTACAATATTGTTTAAAAATACTGTGTAAAATGCTAGCTATTAATAACTCAGTTTCTAGTTGCATCATGGCATGGCTTTACTATTGTTCAATATTCTCTCACAAGATTTAACAACATTTACATTTAAAACTTGATTGTAATTCAATGTTGGAACTAAATCATTGAATAGAATTGGCTTATGTGCTATTGTCCCTTTTTCTACTTGGTTGAACCTTAGCACTAACCTATTAGGTCAAGGGATCTCTCAAGGCTGTTAAATTCTATTATTCTATTAACTTCTGTAACATTTACAGGAGGTGATAAGCATCCTTCTGTTCTGCTTCCTGGACTAGTGGTTCTCTTTATTACATTCAATGTAGCTGTGAGCATTATTGCAGACAGTACATTTTCAAATTATAATGAAAGACATTACACAGATGTTAATTTCTAGGTATCAGCATTTCCTGAATTTAGCATGTGTTGGAAGCATGCAATTGAAAATGTATGTTTTGACAACACCAAGCATTGTGTGATTTCATTGCCAGTTGTCATGCAGATGCTTTTTGCGGTTGGAAGCCTATACTTTGCCAAGAACAATAAGAGTTCAGACGTATTTTAGCTGATATTTGCAGCTTCCACAAGTTCACATTAAATGTGGTTTTGATAATTTGAATGGCTGTTGGTGATTTCCTCTTTACCTAGCTGTTTAGTTATCCTAAATAGCCTTTTAGATATTTTATGCTGTCTGAAATACAATTTCTTCCTTATATGGGAGATCAGCTCTGAGATCTTCTTGACTAGATCAGTTTTGTCATATTTTAAGATCTCAAAATGAAGTAAAAATGAAATGAAGAGGTATAGTCTAATCTCCTGTAGTTTAAATACTTAATTTTATTTCTGTATTCATAGTTTGTCCTAAGCAAGCACCTGAAGAACTGTCTTCCATTCGGGACTCAAGCCTTACAAATGCACCAATGCAAAGCAAACTAGTGTCTTCCTTTCAGCAGCATACCAAAAAGGCACTTAAACAGGTAAAGTAACATTTCTTGATTGATTACATTTGCATATCTAAACTAATTGAATTGAATCATTTATTTCCACTCAATACTTCACATTTTATACAAAGGAATTTTTTTTTTACAAAAGATGCAAAATTCCATCCTATTAGGCATCTTACTCAAAATCAGTATTGGATGAAGCAGAAACACTACTGAAATGGAACCATATTAAAAAGCAGCTGGAAGATGCTGGAAGATGTAAGATGTATCTTGCAACTTCCTGGATTTCTGTCTTCTATGTTTTTAGGTCCCTGATGTGCTGGTCACATTTCCAAGGCATGCTAAAATGCCATCTCACATTCCAGAAACTCAATATATATATAAAATACTGAGGTGTTTTATATTTGTGTATGTGTTTGTGTGTGTGTATGTATGTGTGTGTGTGTGTGTGTATATAATGGCGGTAATAAAAGTATCTGAACACCAAAGCTGTTTAATCTACAAAAAGTACTAAGCTTTCGGCGGCCAAACTACCAACATCGTCAGAGTGTAAAAACGCCGGATCCGGGAATTAGTTTATATAACTGGCCGCCTCTGCGCTCTAACCCTTGAATGGGTCATTGGTCCACTCATTAGTACCGGCCGTGCTGTTCTTAAAGGGGCCATGCTTGTCAATGCATCCATAACTTCCAAGGCTGCTCTCCTGCCCCTAGTCATTGTTGGTGTGTGTGCGAGCGCCCAGGGGGCGGCTGTCAGGTTGCTCCTGCTCTTCTTCCCCCTCCCCACTTATCCTGGGCTGTCCCCGTGTCTTCATCGCCAAACTATCTATCCTACGTGTTTCAGATGTCATTCTCACATTTGCTAGTCCTATTACTGGGGGCAGGGGAGCAATCTTGGAAGTTACGGATGCATTGACAAGCACGGCCCCTTTAAGAACAGCATGGCCGGTACTAATAAGTGGACCAATGACCCGTTCAAGGGTTAGAGCGCAGAGGCGGCCAGTTATATAAACTAACTCCTGGATCCAACATTTTTACACTCTGACGATGTCGGTAGTTTGGCTGACGAAAGCTTAGTACTTTTTGTAGATTAAACAGCTTTGGTTTAAGATTTTTATCCTGGTGTTCGGATACTTTTATTACTGCCACAATATGTGTATACCCGGGATTCTTGTTTATAACGTTATTAAAGAATATATATATATATATATATATATATATATATATATATATATATATATATATATATATATATATATATATATATATATATATATATATATATATATATATATATATATATATATATATATATATATATATATATATATATATATATATATATATATATATATATATGCAGGTCTTGGCTTTTTCGGGTCTTTTCCCGTGTAAGATTGAGAGTATCTTGGCAACGTTTCGACGAGTTCCCACTCATCATCTTACACGGGAAAAGACCGAATACGCCAAGACCTGCATACCTGTACCCGTGAAAATCTACAAAAACATATATGTATATATATGTATGTATGTATGTATGTATACACACACAGATATAGATATATAAAACACCTCAGTGCCTTTGTTGGTTATGTGCAAGAATCTGACTGCTATGTAGCCAAATCTGTGATTCTTCAGGTACCACATTAATTTCAATCTTATAGTACTGATTAGGGAAAACTCATCCTAGCTTGTTTCCAATTTTGGAGTAGGGGCTAGGAAAAAATAATGCTTCTCTCTCCCATGGGTTAGCATGGGAAAAAATAAACACCTAATGGTACCCATGGTACCATTACCATTATCGTAGGGGAAGGGATTTATTTTTATTATAACAATGTGATTTGTAGGAGACTATGTTTAGGAGGTGAACATGCCACATTTCAGTGCTAAGGGCTTTCAAGTTATACAGTCTTTTAACTGAACAATTGTTTGCTCAGACCACTTCTGTAGTATCCACAAATCTCACAGTAATTTTTTGCCACTGACATTTGAATAATCACAGCCTTCATTCTCTCCCATATCTATCTTGTCATTGCTATTATAGGACAAAATAACAGCACTCATAGTAACACCATGATTCATAATCTGCTCATATTTGATATATGCCATTATTTGTCAGCAATGCCAATTCCTTTCAAAAGAGTAGTTGAATATAAATTTGGCATCAGAAATGGCACTATCCAGAAACAATAGGAAGATATTTCAGTTAGGTAGGACACTCAGCCACTAACTTCAAGGTGGCAGTCTTTGGGGAAAGGAATTTTAAAAACTGATTTCATTGTGAAACAGCTGAAATACAATTCATTGGGAGTTTTAATACTATTATAGTTTAAGACTATAACTTTAAGGAGAGAATTCGGTTTCTTATGTCACTGCATTAATTAGCACATTAATACATGATGGTCTGTGTCAGATGTAACAACTGTTCTGTCAATGGCCTGTATCTAAAATGTAGTTTTCACCCACTGTGCCTTTTATGTTTCCATCTGATGTATCTCTTTATAATTTCCCACTCCACTGCTTCATCATGGGAAATTTGTGTGTGTATGTAAATATTATGTGCATCTGAAGAATGCAGTCTAAAAGAACTTCTTGTATACTAATTGTATTACTTCAAAGTTCCACAAGACAATGTGGTTTTGTATGTCTTTGGAAAGGAGATAGAAATGGAATAGTTCAGAGTTTCACAGGGAAACTAAATATGGATAAATATTTCCATAGGAAATATTTAGCCTAACAGCAAGATGAAATAAGCAAATATCAACTGAGGGCAAAATCCATAAATACCATTATAGTTGTCTTGATAGCATAAAATATTCAAGAGAGAAATGCAAATACTTATACACCCGTCCTATAATGCTAAGCAAGCAGTGAAACTTCCTTTTAAAAAGATTATTACTTGATGTATTTACCTTAAGGAGGGAGTCTTCTATTCTCCCTTCATTTCCTTTTATGCTCCATGTATTCATTACCACCAGATGCAGGCAGCTGGATTTGATTTAACTCCAAACTGTGGGTCCTATCTGTTGGTGAATGAACTTTAAGCAGCAATTTTTGTTCAGAAAATTGCTGTTGGGAGTCAGTTTTGCTACTGTATATCTACTCTTCAGACCTTCTATTGCTTTTATGTACTTATAATGTACTTCTGTTCTACTACAAATAGCCTACAGTGCTTCTGAATACACAGAGATGTTAAGCAATTATATGTGACACATACCACCTGATATTAACTTACTGGATCTATTTTGCTGTACCGGGAAGTGAACCTTTAACACATTCTGGGAATAAACTGCTTACTCTGTGGAGTGCCAAAAGCAGCATGGATTTGGTTGAGGATTATTTTTCTTTTGGCTCTTTTGCAGATTTCCACACTCTTCTCATGCATTGTTCAGTTTGTTAGGCAGAAGAATGGAACTTTGAATATTTGCTCTGATTATATTTCAGTTTATTTTTTAAAATCAATGCTAAATATAGGTGACCATAATGGAAGATTATGTGAGTCAGACTTTATTAGTTTTTTTGACCAGTTATTTTCACTGAGAATAATGTGTCCTTGAAACAATACCATTAGACTCAACCATTCCACATTTGTGACTTACCCCTGTTTCTATATCATCCAGCCATCACTGAGTCAATGTGAATTATTTTGGCACAAGTATAGTTTAGATGACACTAGAAGTTGCTATCAGTCATTCCTGGGATCTGCTATTGAACCAAAATTCAAGACCTTTCTTGTCCATGAAAGTCTCCTTGTTGCCATTAGTCCCTCAAGTAATCCTCTTGATCTCCTTGATAAAAAGATAATATTCATATATCTAAAGGTTATTCCTCTAGCCCGACCAGAAGTTAGTATAATTGGAGCAATAAGGAAATGACTGACTTCAGCAGTTCCTGCACTAATTCCTGCAGGACCAGGAATTTGAGAATTATTTTTTTAGCTTTAGTTTCCAGCCATATTTGATGGGGAACTGCTTTGGGCATACTGAATGGTTTGCTTCTGAATGTTAGCAACTCAGTTTTGGAAGTCTCCAGAGACCAAACAACAGGGTTTGGGGGCCATCTGTCTGATGCAAGTGGCCCATCACTATCTTATTGAAAGATACTGAGTCAGACTATTGGTCCATCTAGTTCAGCGTTGTCTGCAATGAATGGCAGTGGCTACCCTGGACTTCAAGTCGGAATCCTTCTGAAGATACCATGTAGGTCTTCTCTTGAGGTACAGCTATGCAGATAAGGCTGAGACACAATTAAAGAGTTGTGAGCTGGACTTCAGCCTGACTGATGTAGACAGTGATGAGGGAAGCACTGCTCAGGTAAGTATATCTGAGTTATTCAACATTTTTATTCTTTTTTCATTGTAGCTATTATCCTTGATAAAATCATTTCCAGCATGACTCAGTGAGTTTTGACAAAAAGGTTCATTGTTATATATTGTCATTTCTCATAACATTTTTAGTTTATTTCTTCAGCAGTACCAAAAAGCGTTGAAGGTATTGGGTCAATTTCATCAACATTGAAAGAAAAATAGTTTTGCTTTTCATAGAGACTTTGCCACTGGAACATATCCTGTGATTTCAAAAAATACATTAAAAGTGTATTACATATTAACTTGGAAGTGTCAAAAGCTAGTTCATATAAACCTGTTAGCCGGGAAAGAAGGGCCCCATTGGATGCCCATGCATTCAGCTGAGCATTGGAGATGGACCAGGTTGAATGTAGGCCTTTTTCATAAACTCATTAAACCATGATGAAAATGTGGGAGGGAACATTATACTAGCAAGTATAGTCGCAGTCTGTTCTGTAAATAAATTCATGATTTTTGGTAATTTTCCTGATCCTATTCTTGAAATTCTACATTTGATTAAACTGGGGCCGGCCAAAGGCAGCTTGGCAATACCAGATAACAAAACTCAGAAGAAGGCTTTAAGTGAAAGGATCGGGTTGTTGGACAGAATTCTAATTTGCCTATTCCAAACTTTGTGGGAAATCTGTGTGCCAGAGTAGCCTAAGATGGTTTGTCACTTGGCAACATGG